TTCTTGTTAGGACATTCTTATTAGAAAATTCAAGTAGCTAAATTTAATATTTTATATGCAAAAAAAAAAGGGGGGGGGACCCAAATCCATGCACTGGATTTGTCCATCTGTTTCCTGGGTTGTTCTCCAGCCCACCAATAACTCATAGGAGAGGTGTCTTCATTTTTCCTTCTACAGGAATAACACAGCCAGAAGAGCAGATAGTTGTTTCCTCTGAACTTTTCTCTTCCTTAGTGTTCTCCCAGTAAATAGTTTGCTTCTGTCAAAAATGTGAAAAATACTATTCCAGCAAATAGGTGGAGAATTTTCATTCCATCGACATCTACTCTGTTAGACATTTGTTTGAGATGGAAGGACCAGTCCCCAAAATCAAAATGCTATCAAAAAATGCTCCCATTGGGATATTGGGAAGCGCAGCACTTAAACGTAGCATGAGACACCATTCTTTGGGTAGCCACCAGTTCCCCACACTAATTCATGGAGTAAAAAGGGGCCCCTTTACACTAAGTTTTCCAGTTGTTAGCTCAAATTAAGAACTCCTTTTCTTTCCTTGTTGTGTTGCTGCATGCCAGCATCTCTTGAAGCACTACCCAGGCCTCTTTCAAAGATGGATCAGTTTGTGTATGGTATGCTAAAAAGCACCACCATAACAGACCCACTATGCATGGCCTACCAAATTCTATTTTCAAAAACAAAATATATATATATATATTTCATTCATAAATTTCACTCCTCCCTAAGGAACTTTGGAGAGCCTTGTTTATCCCAGTGATCCCCTCAGCTACACCTATAAAAGCTTCATATTCTAGAGGATTAAATCAAAGGACACAGAACAAACACTAAACAGACCTTTGAGTCTACAAATTGGAGGCTGAATGATCAGCAAACAGTCTCTCCACATGAAAAGTTATGTTACAGCAACACAACAGCAAAGTGAGCCAAAAGTATGTCTATTCCTGATTTGCAGACCAGGTTTTAGTTATACTATAATCCTTTTGGTATGCCTGCTTAGGATCCACGCAATCACATGAGTCATGAGCACTACCCAAAATCCTGCGGCTCCCATGCTGCACAAGTGACACACCAGATGAAGGCTGAAAAATATACATGTGGAATTGTTCTGGGAACTTAAAGCACCCATAACAGTAAACAAAGCAAATATGGTGCAAAACCTGTTGCTATTTTCTTAGCATTATGAAGCAAAGCTACAGAAATGCAGAAAGACGCAGTCGTTCTCACACCTTCCCTCAGATCCCAGACAAGGAAGCCCAGCAGCACAAACAGCAGCAGGGATACATAAATGCTACCCAAAGGAGTTCCCTGCTTTCTGCCACTGCTCAGCCTGTGTGCACGCGTGTGTGTGCACGTGAGCACACATCCAGGTGCGTTGCTGCGTTTGAGAGAGCTGAATAAAGAGCAGGGCAGTTCCTTGTCCTCCTGCTTCCTCTCAAGCCGTGACTGCTCCAGGGGATCCACCATAAGATGCTCCTCGGCGCTGTCCTTCCCTCCTGCCTACCCCGGCACAACCTGAGTGCCTCTGGAAAGGTGGCTGCTGTTATTTGCTGTCCCGCTTGGGGACAGTCCCGGAGAAGCCTGTGGCAGTTTGGTCTGGTAAGTAAAATCCTCTCTATTGCCTGGAGAAAAGGCAGGGGGGCTGCCCTGGCACTCGCTGAGCGAGCGGCACTGCTGACCAATTTTGGCTGGTGGCTGAGGCCAGAGAAGAGCATTATCAATCTCCGTGTGGGGAGAATCCTCTGGAAATGCTACTGAAGCAAAAAAACAACTGCTAATGGCATAACAGCAAGGAGCAACCCAAGTAAACCTACTGTCATGAGGAAAAAAATACAGGAAAATGGCTAAACTGAACCAAGCAATAAAAGAATTTAAACTGTGGCACAGGGCAAGCATGTGGCAGGGAAATAGAGCAATGCAAAATTAAATATCTGGTTTTACTCCAAATTACTCCACTATACAATTAATTGAAAATGTTGTTGGATTTGACAGGACTTTGTGATATCTTGTTCCTCAAAGATTGTATTCTTCATCCCTGAAAAGATATGAGCATTTTTTCATAGTTACCTCCTTTCTAGCCAGGCTATAAAAATAGTAAGGTAAAAAATAATGCCCCTCAATTAGACAACAAAAGATAGTTGTTCATCATAATATTTTCAAGAATCTATATGCACTAAACACCTGGAAAAGGCATCTGGTAATCACCCCAAGCACTGGTTTAAAACTTTAAATAGGTGTGAAAAATTAAGTGTTCAAACGCAGGCCCCTCACAGCCTCCCTTTCTCTACTGCTTCTGGGGTTGCAAACTATCTGGACGCTTCTGTGTTCTGAAAGGTCTTTTATTAGCAACCATCACACTAAAGCATCCTTGCAAAGGCATGTGAACTCCCAAAGCTAATCTATTTATTTGATGACTAGATTTCAAGACAAAACTGCAATTCTTCCAGCACAATTTTTAATAATCCCAATGTAATCAGATCATGAGGAATTAAAAAGATGAATTATCATCATTTACACAAAACAGCATAAAAATCAGAAGCAAAGACAAAACAGGAAAGATTCCATATTCATTACAACTAGAAAGTTCTCTATTAGTCAATATTTGTATTTATTGCACTAATACACTTACAGGTGCAATGACAGTAGAAGGATAACTCAGCAAGGAGGAGCTCAGCAACGAGGCCTAATGCTAGCTCTTAATACTTACGTGTTAAATTCAAAAACTCCAGTAATATTAAAATATAGGGGTTTATCCATAAATCCACTAATAATAATGCACTAATTGCAATAATGCATATTGGCAAGCTTCAGGGTTATATCAATGAACAATTAAAATGGGAGCTGAAACACCTACCACCAGAGAAAGATGCAGTGGATAGTTTATTTTAGTACTTGCTCTAAGTCCTTCAAGGAATAATATAATCACAGAAACTGGAGACAGAAAAAACACCTTGTAGGTCATAGAGTTTATTTGCCTGCCAGCGCAAGATTCTTTGTGATTTTTAGCGCTTCCTTTTGCCAATTTAAGAACAACGCATCACGCCTAAGCAAAATGAGATTATGAGACCCCTCAGACACTGTGTTTTGCAGTACCCAATAGATCATGGTGCTGCTTCGCATAACAGTGAAGGTGCCAAATTGCTGAGACAATATAAGGCCATATTTAGCCTTAAAATATAGCCTAGACAATATAAGGCTAGCCCAGAACATGCGAGTCAGCTGCATAACAGGATCTCTCAGAGTGACAGGCCCCGATACAAATCCTCTCGCGCCCTTGCCTCCCTGCCACACGCAGTGTCCTCTCTCCTGCTCAGGACACAGCTGATCAGCCTTGGCACACAGGTGTGAGATGCGCAACCGCGGCGCCAAGTGGTGTTAATGTGCAAGAAATAGCTCAAGCTGTG